GTCGAATCTGAAAAAGATCAAAAAGGTGGCACAAGACCAGGAATGTTTGAGTTACTATCTGACATGTCCCCCTCATCGACCCGAAAGAATTAGCGGTCGTCGAAAGAGGCTGACAGGGGGAGAACTAATAATAACGGCGCGGAGACAGGCCACTTTGCAACACCGTGTTGTTGGTCTTCGGTAATCAGTTCTCAGTCGCCATACTGTTGTGCAAATACAGCTGTAAGCTGCTAAAGCAGCAACAAAAAGTTGCAAAGGGGCTAGGATGGGGTTCCTACAGATGCAAAAAATTGAATTAGCCCCTTTAGGGAAAATGAGTGCATGTTGGGACAAAGACGGGGGGACAACTAGGGTAATTCAGTCGATAGAACGAACACGCTGTTAAATAAGCAATATTACATTCGAATTAACAGGAGACTACAAGTTATAGTAGTTAGTAAGCTGCAAATATTACCTCAGAAGCTATACACCTTAGGCAGGTGGCATCCAAACGGGGACTAGCATCTTGCTGTAGGATCTATAACAAAGGATATTGTTGGTGGCACTCATCGAGGAAGCACTCATATGACTTGAAATTTTTCTTTCCATTACTGCAAGCGCAACTCATGTCTAAAAATGATTCCCGAACCGCGCCAAATCATTTTTGAATTTGCGATTGCGGCTGCGAAATGGTAAAAAGTGATGATGACAGGAAAGACGTAGAAACATATTCTCCACATAGAGTAAAATAGAAGTCAAGCTTTGTATGATCGTTCAAATAGTTGTTTTCGGTAGTATTTGTGCATGGTTTTGCATCCAAGTTACGGAATTTACAGAAACCCATCCTAGGCCACACTGTGTTATGGTGCTTTGACGAACTCTTATGATCGAATAATCAGTGCATAGAGAATAAGAACCTTTGTATGTATGTAGGAATAGTAGATATCATTATTTATTTTTAAAGTCAAGTACAACGAAATAATTTCAACGATTATGTCAAAAAATAAATAATTTGAAATGTCGTCTTATTAAAAAATGAGTGCTGCAAAATCGAAAAGTAAAAATATTTGTCCTAAATTGACAGGAAGATGTTTTCTCTTGACAGAGATCATATGGTATTGTCATACTGTTGCTTTGGACTGTATTTCTCTCTAAAATGCCAATGAAAGACAAGAAAGAATACGGTATTTTGCCATCTTACTTGTAAAACTGCCTTTCACAACAGCTGATGTAAAAGAAGCCGCAAAAAAAGCGATGACGAATGCACCGGTTATGGGCGTTGTAGAAATCTTTGTAAAATGCCCTGCACTGGAAGTACGGACACTGATGTGGCTGCAGCTTGTGCCTGCCATCGTAGGCTCCAGCTGTGCAGCACGCTTGTGCCTCGCACCCAGTTTGTTGGTATCCTGCAATAGCTGTTTTTCTTACAAGCGCTGGTGGTGATTCTGTTTTTGTCACCTCTTTTGGGACATGTCTCATTTTCAATATTTTCCTCTTTCAGCAAATGCAAGTTGTTCTCCGGAAAGTAGTTACTCATGCACTGCGGTCCCTCGTTGTCCAGATCCATCATAGCGTTAATGAGCAAGTTTTTGTCTTCTTCGTGGATTTCGCCGGTGGGTCCTTTAACTTCTAACTTGAAACCTGTAACAAATCACCATTAGGCAAACAAACGTAAGCAGCCGCGACTCACAAAGAACAATGGCAATGACAAAAGTACTTTGCCTTTTGAATGATACAGTCACGAGTATACAAATTTTAACAGCGATGTTACTCGACGGTCAAAGTGATTCGAAGAATATACCTTACTCTCCAATGAGGAGAGGTTGGAAGGTTGCATTGCATCTTAGAGTGTCGGGTTCAAACCCAGCGTGCAGAGTATTTTCTCTTATTAGCTGCTAATTTCCTAGAGCAAGAAATTCACCCCAGTGGGGGGCATCATGCGTCATAAGGGTATCAGGTCGCTGACTTGTGGTTAATAGGGCAGCATGGTGTTTGGTGTGACGATGTCAAATCGAGTGATATATTCCGTCGGATGCTCATGTCTTGGGGCTGCCACTCCCTTGGCTACCTTGATAGCTGATCAAAAATTAGCACAAGGTGTAAATGTAATTTCATTAATTAAAAATATAATTTCCTAATAATGTCCATGAAATACTTCGTTCAGGTATTTTCTCATTCTGTAATCATGTTTCATTCAATTGATAGATGGATGGTTCGACAAATTTTTCTTTCCATCTAAGCTGGAAATTGAAAGAGAAATTGGTTTTCCGTTAAGGTTTGTACGCACAGTGTTGCTCTTATGAACAGCTTAGCCTCAGGAGCATTAAATTGTTTTCGAAACCGTAATTGTCATATTTGTATTAGTCGACTATTTCTAGATTATGATATGATAATCTTTTGTAGCTGTCATCGCTACTCCATAGCATACAACTGCGGCGTGATGGCAGAACGCCCAAGAGTTATACTTCGAACTCCGGCGTAGGGTCGCTAGTCGACAGTCTTTGCCTTATTTATGAATTCCATTAAGCAAAGAACATATCCAGAATTGCTTGAGACCGAAGCTATTCAACCGCTAAGGAGTCGAGAGGTCTCGAGTCCAAAATTCGGTAAGAGTCACTATACTTTTTCTCTGTCTGAGGATAATTAAGTGGCATCACTCTGTGGAAAGGAAAAATTAAACTACGCACTATGTTTGCCACATGGCTGCGCTCGAAACTGCCTAATATAGTCACTGTTGACTGATGGCATGGAAATAGAGATTATACTTCATAAAGCTGCACTCTAATGCAGCCCTGTATATTGGTCCTTACCTACTCTCCGCGACCGTCACACCAAAGTTAGATTATTATGGATAGACAGGGATAAGTTGATGGGTGTTAAGTCCATTGATTTCAATTGGATGTAAAGTTACGCATTTCTTGAACTTAATGCGAGTCATTTACAGGTTCATTTCAATCCTGACTTAAAGCATGAATCGTTTAGCCTTCGCCTTCTTCTTGCAGATCTTCTGGGAACTTCTTGAGATTTAGGATATTGTTGGCAAAATGAAGTTGTCTTAATTACTGACTGTGCCATTTGCATGTCTTGGGAAACATGTTGGCACGTTGCTTGAGTTACTTGGTAATGGTTTGTGTTGTTATAGTGCCTGAACTTTTGTCATCCGCTGGCAGGGCTGATGCTAGCCTCGAATTCCGCTCAGGTATTTTATTGACGTTGTCTCTTGTAGCCTTCGAAGCGCCTTCTAAACGCATGGCACGGTGACGCTGCTGGCCCTTCCTGTTCAGAGGGACGGGTAGTTGTCACCTCGTCACGAGACTGTCATTAGGCACTGTGACCATTTTCTAAGAAGCGAACTTATAGAGCCCGAACCCAGCCACGCCCTGGTAGCCTTATCTCCAATGTATCGCATATGTACCGATAGGTGTGACGTACCTCGTCGACCATTCTCAGCCGAACCGCTCGACGTTTGATTTCTAGGAGGCTCTTCAGGCTGACTGGTTCTGAAACATCGATACCGTCTTCTACCTGCAAGGAATCCGTGATACACGGCGCTTAGTGCAATGACGTAATACCTTCGTAGCGACAGCAGATAAAATTTGTTCCCGTGTTGCAATAGTCATCCAAGAATTGATGTATCATTTGATCAAAGCAGTCTCGGCGGTCCAACAGGGTTTCCTGCAAACGTTTACATTTTGAAATATATAAATCAAACACTTGGCTTGATTGATTACCTTTCTACAGCACCTTTTGACCTGCTGAACATGGTAATTTCGGTCTTCCTGGCTTTGATACCTGAAGATCCGGCTTAACTTGTAGTCCGGCTTGCTCGGGTGCTGTCTTAGAGGGACGAACGACGGCCATTCGTCCCGGGACATCACAAGGCACATTTTATTCAGCTGCGCCTCGTGACTCTCCTAAATTTGGTATGAATCATGCACGGTCATTTGCTTTTGGTCCTTTTACCCACTGATCAGCATTTGTGCTGGTCAGAAAGTCGTGCCAACTTCGAAACTCGTAATTTGACTGTTCATCTCCATAACAGAGTGCAAGCATCAGAGCTAAACATAGAGCATTATATGCAATCCAGACACGCTATTTTCTTTTCTACCTGCAGCTACAAAAGCTATATGTGAATCCATGCTCCTCACCGACTGTAGGGTTGATTGCGTCTACCAGCCAGGGTTCGACAA